AATCATCTCATTATTATTATTATTATTATTATTATTATTATTATTATTATTATTATTATTATTATCATTATCATTATTAAGTTTGATTTCACACTTTATGCTGTGTTCTAAAGTTTTATGTACCATCTTCTGTTTTTTATAGGGGGTTCAAGTCTTAATTTTTTTAACTTATTTTGACCTCCTTCCACACTTCCTATAACTATATTTTCACTTGTTATCACCTTAATATTGTTATGTTCATTTGAAATGTTAGAGAAAACCATTAAACAAACAAACAAACAAACAAAACAAGTGGTGTTGTGAAGTGCGTTTTGGAAACAGAAATATAAAGAATGGTCATTTTAACTTAAAGTAAGATATTGTCATAATCGAGGAAAATAATAAATAGTAAATGCATAAAGAATTTAATAGCAAACTTTTGCCTACAAATTCCAATATGACTTTATCAAACTCCTAACATGTTAAAATAATTTACAATATACAGATTCTTAACAATTAAACTAATGCGAAGATGTTTTAGTCTCTGTTCCACAGTTGACAAGTTTATATTGTAGCACAATTATACTCCACCACAACACATACCGTAACACACGACTAAACCACAAAAACATTCAAAAACTTTGACAAACTTACCTACAATAGAATTGGAAAAGGCGGTCATATTTGCTGCCATCATAAGTGGACTGGATACGGTTTACTGCCTGTCCACTTGGACATTGGAAGTTAAGAGGTTGATCCCAGTCGTTGTTCCAGGCATAACTGTGACATACAAAAGCCAATATCGTACACGCAACAAGAATGTACTGCATCTTACCTGGACATGGCAGAGATGATGATGAATTATTGAATGATCATGATATGTATTTATACGTATTTAATACTTAATATTAATACTACTAGCATATTATAATAACCATTACTGATGGTACTAAAATATGAAGCACGTATATAACTGACAATATTATATTATTGTCTACACAACTAAAGGAACATGGCAATTAAAAATATAAAAAAACAGAAAACAATAAAAATCGTGAACACTCAATGCTGAACTGTCTTACAGTATGTTGTCACTGTATATCCTCAACCAACTGTGACATTTGTAAGGCTAAGGATTTGATAATTATTTTTGAAATTAAGGTGAGCCTTTATGACGTCATAACTGATAATATAACTATTGATTAGAATGTGATAATGATCAAAGGTTCCGATATTTTGCCTTAATTTAATTATTAACTTAAAATCACTTCATCAATTGTTTTTTGTGGTGGTAGCCTGTGTGTAAGCCGTAGAGACACGTAAAAATAACCTTGGTCCCCGGTTTAATTCCGTTGCTGCTCACCTGCTTCTATTCAGCAGGAAGGCTAAAATAAACATTTTTATTAACATCTCTTTCAGGGACGTCTAAGGCCCGTAGTGCTGTGTGCACTATGGCGAATTTTTGTTACTATGAGTTATTTTATAATTATTAATATTATCATTGTAAGATTTATAACGTATAATGACTTTCGTCTTATTAGAGACTTTCGTCAAGGATGTTAACTACTGTATTCGAAACATTGAATATCACTAAGCTTGGAAGCATAGGCATTGCTCCATTACATGCCGCAACAGGTGTTTTTTCCCACAACATGTATTTAAGTTATATACTACATATGTTCCCTATGATAAGCCTACGGTACTATATGAAAATACCTTTCTTATGATAAATTTTGTCGGCGCCTATTAGGCCTAGCGGAAATATTTAGTATAGCCGAGCTTCCTATCTACATTATTTTGTCGGCCTCAGAAATTCTGTGGAACCTGCTTGGTATAAGCCTGATGTAAGCGATTGAATTTATAAACTATCTACTTCTGTTATGAATACGAATACAATAACACTTTATTGCAATTTGAAATAAAATACAAATGGAAGTTTAAAATTAAAAAAATGCATGTATCAATACAAAATCTCATAAACAAACAATAAAAAAAAAAAAAAAAAAAAAAAAAAAACAACCAAAGAACATAGGCGTAAAGTGGGGGGAAACTAACAAAAAGGGACGGGGACACCTTATTAAACTAGTAAAAGTTAAAAAAGGTGAAAGATATTAAAAACAATGTATAGTAATTGGAACCTAAAGCAAATATTTCAGAATTTAAACTCATTATGACCTTTATTAAACAACCGAATCAAAACACTTAAAACTGCGTAAACAAATACTAATTCCTAAAATCGCTTAAATCCTGTTTCCATCCGCAAGCGCGATAGGCGCATTGAGCGCAGAAACACATTTTTTTCGTGCATCAACAATTATTGGAACATTTCTCGGGGGCGACCTTTGTATTGCTTTTTTTAGATAATCATTTTACAACTTCCATGTTCCATGAATGTCCTTTTCATCTTTTACCCACTTTTTTAGACATGTTTAATGTTCATTTGTAAATAAATAAATAAGTAGTAATTTTTGGAGGGCCGTGCGCACCCTCTAGATACGCCACTGTTGTATTGATATTCTTTACAACCAGGTAGCCTACTTCATAAAGGACATTACGGAGCGAAATATCCACTATGATAGGAATATCGTCATAAATTGCGATTTCAAAAAACTGACACACTTTAAAGCACGAACCTAATTAAGGCTTCCATTTAAAACAACACACAAAAACCACACTTTATAATCTATTCAACGACGAACAGCGGAGCGATCTGAAGCACGTTTGAATATCAAAAACGGTTTATATTATACACATTATAAGGCGTTTACTTTAAATCCTAGATAGAAGCAGGGACGGCACCATGAATTCCCCGACGAGGGGTTCAGCTCCCCGACAAAGTCCAACCTCCCCGACAATGGTCTACCCCCCGGTCGGGGAAGCCTAGCACTCCCGACCCCCATGGTCGGGGAAAAATTGTGTTGATTATGGTATTCTTTATTTAAAAATGATAATTTGATAGAAAACCATGAAAGGTGATATGACCTCTGTCGGAGATACTAACCTCCTGTCTGAGGTACCAGCCCCGTGTCGGGGAAGATCTGGCGCTACGACCACAACCCATACGATCACGATAGTATACAACACCTCACACATACGGTAGCACTGCTCGCAGTAAACAGTTTTTAAACCCTAAAATTTGACAGCATACCGTACCTAAATTGTACTTTCGGCGGTCGAGATTTCATTTTTCCCCGACGACCCTGCTGGAAATTCCCCGACAGGGCGATCCAAGTGGGGGTCCAGAGGTCCCCGACGGGGGGTCCTTTGCCCATGGACCCCCGCTGGCGCCGCCCCTGGATAGAAGAATTTAAGCTAATTGATATTTTTGCCAAATCATGGTGGCGAAATCTGGTTAAACCTGATCTGGTGCCGTCGACATAAAAGAAGGTAATAATCTGATGATTGAAGATACTTGCCTTCCAATCCTAGGGTCCTGTCACAGTAAAATGACTTTTTCCTAGCTTCAAGAGAACACTGTCGTATTCTGTCTTTAATTTCAGTTTTCAGGATTTTTAGGTTAGGCCTGTGTGAAGAGTTTATACGCAAGAATACATGTATATAAACCAGAAAACTGTGAAGATTTAATTCCTACAGAATGACAATGGAGGAAGAGGATGGGTCATCAGTGGTCTCTTTTCCTTTACACGTTGTTGTATTTTCAGTTTTAGATGAGGTGAGCAAAGTTTACCTATTTTTCAAAATCCAATAAACCATGAAAAGTTTATAATAAGCCAAATATCAAAACCAAGTTGTAAACAGAATAATACTTCACCACAGTAGACAATCTTCAACAACTAAGTAAATATATTAACAAACTTCACCAAGAAAAGTAGTAAAATTTTTCTTTATCCAATGTATTGTAACAAAAAAAAAACAGATGCCAAAGGACAGGTTCCACAGACTTGAGGTCCAAACTAAGGGGAAAATGTCCTGGGCAAAAGACATCAAATAAAATGTTATTATTATTATATTTAAATTATCATTTTTTTTTTTTAATTGATGGCATATAGCATCTCTGCTACTCTACATCTATACACCTTTAGTATTTGGTTAAGTGTTTGAATAATTGATTGCTTCCAATTATGATTATATCATCATCTTCATAATAATCATCATCATCATCATAATTGTTATTATTTCATCATCAGTAACTAAATTACAATTTTTCATTGTAGTTACAAAAAACTGACCTTGCTGCTGCCCAAACATTGAGGGCAGCATTAAACAAAGTGGAAAAGAAACATCCAGGCTTTACGCAGGATCTTGTGAATGGCATACTGGAGGCAAAGTCAGCTAATGTGAACTTAACTGAATGCCTTCTACGGCTGGCAGCATATGATAGTGAAGGTAATTGAGGAGTTGCTTATAATTCCTGTGTGAATCATGTGATTATTTCACATCTCAAAAAAACGTACAGTACAACTTTTATATAAACTTAAAATATCATGACTGTACTAAGAATTAACCAGCAAAAACAAGCAAGTAATTGGCTGGACTTCAAGGCTGGGCTCTATCAGTGCCTTTCTTGAGAAAGTGT